CCTAGTTCAGCAATAGGGATACCATAGTTCAGGTATAATGGATACTTCTGGTTCAGCTATAAGAGATACTCCTAGTTCAGTTATAAGTGGATACTTGGGGGGGAGGGGGTGGGGTAGTCTTTGGTCAATGGTTTGATTGTCCAGAATAAAAATAGAACTGGTGGAGGGGGTTGGATAGTCTTTAGTCAGGTTTGATTGTGCAGAATAAAGAATATAGCTTGGAGGGGGTGTGGTAGTCTTTGGTCTCAGGCTTGGTTGTACAGAATAAAAAATAGAACCAGGAGGGGAGGGGTAGTGTTTGATTTCTTGGTCTCAGGTTTGATTGTACAGAATAAAGAATAGAACTGGAAGGGGAGGGGTAGTGTTTGATTTCTTGGTCTCAGGTTTGATTGTACAGAATAAAGAATATAACTGGGATGGGAGGGTAGTGTTTGATCTCTTGGTCTCGGGTCTGATTGTACAGAATAAAGAATAGAACTGGGAGGGGGGGTAGTCTTTGGTCTCAGGCTTGGTTGTACAAAATAAAGAATAGAACTGGGAGAGGAGGGGGTAGGGTAGTCTGATTTTCTGGACTCGGTTGCTGATTGCTATTAAGTTCCAGTCAGAGGTTTGTAGTGACAAAAAATTTTAACCAGTCGAAAAGTTGTATTTGGGCATTTCCTTGACACCGAATCCTGCTATGTTGGAAAATTTTTGTATGCCTACCCAAGCAAATTTGTGACCTGCAGGAAGGAGGTTGGATTTTTTACTAGCCAACACAAAATTTTATATAATATATAATAATATTTGCCATTACTGTTTAAATACAGTACCTTGTCTGGATAGCTTTTTGTACAGCAAGAGCCAGAAAAAAAATATTGACCAGTGAACAGACCTTGTCCAAACAACGTAAGGTATGGCAAGTCATAACATTTTCATAGAGATAGTATCTGGCAGTTAATTTAAAGGCGTTGCCAGAGCTCGAATAGTCGTCTTGTTTCTCTGAAAACCCTGCTTCCTATACAATTACAGTGCTGCATGCCAAGCCATGAACAACCAACAAAGTTTCGTACAAGTTTTAATTGTGCTCTCTACCGCTAACCAATTAGACATCAGCGCTTCACCTTGATSCTTGGATAAGCGGAGTTCATCCATTGATGTAACGATATCGAAACATTAAAGTGAAGCACCCAAAACGTAATTGGTTATTGTTAAAGAGATTGATTAAAACTTGTACAAAGCTGTGTTAGGTGTTCATAGTT